CGACAAATCCTCTTGGCTCTACCTGGAAAATGTTCCTCAGCCCAACACTCTTTGCATCTTCACTATTAATACTTCCTTGGTCAGTGCTGTCGTCATCTCTGTCCCAGAAAACGGCACTGCCTAGTGAGCCTGCATCCACTCAAGTGCTTTTACAAACTGTTTGCCACCCAGCAGCCAGAGTGACCCTTTTCAGTCAGATCATGTTATGCACCTGCTCAACACCCTTCTTATCACATCAGAGTGAAATCCGATCTACTTAAGGGGTCCACAAGGCTCTCCATAGCTGGGCTGACTGCTCACTTCTTTCTACTCTGCTTCTCCCTCACTGCCTCCAGCCACACTGGCCTTCCTGCTGTGCCTGACAGGTCTGACCCCTTCCCATCTAAAGGCCTCACACTTAACTGCTTCCTCTACCTGAACCCCGTAGGGACCCCTATGGCTTCCTCCCTCCTTCACTCATGTCTGCATAAATATCCCAGACTCAGTATATCCTTTTCCCAAATATGCTTTTATAAGATGGCACTCCAACACCCTTTATCCCCTTCCTTGCTTTATTTTTTCAAAGCATTTTTACTATCCTTTGTTATATCTAGATCTCCTTATTCATTTGAATATTGTAAGTCTCTGTCATTAGAATGTAAGCTCCTGAGGGCAGAAGTTTATGCTAGAAAGCAGCTAAGCCTAGATTTGTGCCAATACAAACTAAATACTTAAAGAATTTTTTTTAATGAATTAAAAATGAATACTGAGGGTGGAGATGGTAGGGTAGCTGGATCTTTCAAAAAGACTGAATTGATTATTCGTAGAGATGTACTTATTTTAGAGAAGTGAAGAAGTCTTTCAAAAGAAACTGATGATAAAATTAACTTCCAGAAATTGCTGATTCATATAGGGAAATATGTCTTAAATTCAAAAGTGACACACTACAGTCATTGGGCAGTCTGTGATTCAAATGGAATGTTCTCTAACAGGACTTTTGACATCCATCCTCTATAGAGGAGGCAGTAAACACATTGACTACCCAACTCGAAAGCTCACGTTATAAGCCTGGGACTTTCCAAGAATGAATAGATTGTTGACTATTTATACAGACATGCTTTTCCACACTGTAGATGATCTCAGATGGGTTTCAATGTTACATCTCTTGACTGGTGTTTCACAACTGTTTTCTCATTAACTCCCTCCCATTCTTTTCTCTTCTGATCTATCCTCCAACTCTTGTCAGAACAACATGCTGCGTTGTGCAACTAAAATTTACTTTCATCCCCCCAAATGTTAAATGATACATTGGAATTAAGGAAAGGATGTTGGATTAAGATTAATGGAGAAGTGATTAAAATGAGGGTATGTGCACTAAAAAAAGAGTCCTCTTTTGGACCCTGAAGTCGTTCACTAATTTCCCATTATAAGTTATTTACCAGCAAGCTTCCTGATTCTGCTCCGATTTAAATTCCAAGAGTCTAGGTGTTGGGAGCAAAGCTGTGATTACGGCATTTTGAATGTAACAGGATGCCTTTTAGTCTGGATGTCGACAAGCCACTTGGGGATGGGAATGAGACCAGATGGGCTTGGCAGACGGAAGATGATCAGAGGATATTGTTTCTTCCTTTTACCCAGGCCTACTATGGAGAAATGTGGAAAATCTTTTAGCTTATTCTATGCTCCATTATGGGAGTTTAAAATGCTAACCTGTTGACCAGCATTAGGCATTTCCTCTCAAATGGAACTTCACTGGGTAATTGTAGCTATGAATATTCACTAAGACACTTTAATAGAACTTACAGGAAAAAAATGACTAAAAACAGAAATAAAGAGAAAACATCTGGATAATACATAAACAAAAGCACCCTGAAGACCCTGTGATCATTTAAAAATATCACACGCAGAATTCTGAATAAACAACTTATAGTTTGTTTGCCATTTGCTTTGCGAAAGTGTTTCCAAATAAACATTTGAAAAGAAACACGAGACCCAACAGACAAAGTCAGGTCTTCATTGCAGACTAGGCTAAATGGAAGAGAGCTTAGTTCCAACCACAGAAAATTTAACGTGGAGCTGTTAGAGAAGCTCCCCACCAGAGAAATCCATTCATCTTTAGCAGCCTTTCTGGTGCTTCCAAAGACTGCCCACAAATGGTCATCACCGAGGTTGCTAGGACGATGCATGGAGTCCGTCAGAAAACGAACTCTGTTCTGCTCCCTCTTGATCCCCACAGGAGGACTTGAACCACACTTTGTTCAAAACCGTTATTTAATAAGACATTTTTGCACTCACTCACTTGGAAGCCAAGTGAGTAGTATGTGTTATCAATTATTTCTGCACAAAGTTCTTTGTCAACTGAGAGTAAGCACTCTGTGTTATGACACAAAAACACTGTTTCTTGTGCTTTAGAGACACTATATCTTTCCAAGATACATGCTAATTATATCTGGGAGCCAAGAGTTCTCTAACTCAACAAAGGAATGATAATTAGTAAGAATTATTTTTTGGAGATGGGGGTTAACAACAGTCAGTATATATTTTTTTTTTTTTTTTTGAGACAGAGTCTCACTGTGTTGCCCAGGCTAGAATGCCGTGGCATCAGCCTAGCTCACAGCAACCTCAAACTCCTGGGCTCAAGCGATCCTCCTGCCTCAGCCTCCCAAGCAGCTGGGACTACAGGCATGCGCCACCATGCCCGGCTAATTTTTTCTATATATTTTTAGTTGTCCACTTAATTTCTTTCTATTTTTAGTAGAGACGGGGTCTCGCTCTTGCTCAGGATGGTTTTGAACTCCTGAGCTCAAACAATCCGCCCGCCTCAGCCTCCCAGAGAGCTAGGATTACAGGCGTGAGCCACCGCGCCCGGCCAGTATATTTTTAAATTCTTGATTTAATTTAGAATTTTGAAAAGAAAAATTTCAGGTCATTGTCAATTCTTGTGGTGATACAGCTCATCAGGTCTTTAGCTATCTCAAGGGAGATATGCAGATGCTCCAAAATATCTGAAAACAAAATTAACTCTAATGGCAGCAAGAACAATAATTATAGAGCCCAACTGTAGAGAACCATGGACTACTCTAAGAGTGTTGCATATTTTGACTCATATATTTAAGCCTCTAAATATTGCTAGCAGGAAAGAACTGTTCTTATTCCAATTTTACAAAGGAGGAAACTGAGGCAGAGAGAGATTACAGATTTTGATCCATATCACACAGCTAAAAATAGAAGATCTGGGTTTGAATCCAGTTAATGAGACCTCAGAGTATATGTTTTAATGCTTTCAGTAACATTCATTGATTTACTGAAGTGTCTTCAATGTCATACTCCCGGGCCGGTGCTGAGGATGAGGAGGACATCTGGCTGGTTGTGTTCAGCACCAGGTGTCTTAAGACTGGTGCTTCATTGCTGTGTGGTCCCTGCCAGAGCTGCCAGGATGGATGACCTTCACGCCAATTTGATGTCTTTGCTTCTATTTTTTTATATTTTATTGAGATATAATTCACATAACATACAATTTTCTCATTTAAAGTGTACAGTTTAATGGCTTTTAATATATTCACAGAGTTGTACAACCATCACCATCATCAGTTTTCAAACATTTTCATCACCCCAAAAAGGAATCCCATACCTATTATTGGTAGTCACTCCCCATTACCCCCTTCCCCCAACTCCTGACAAGCACTTGTCTGCTTTCTGTCTCCATGGGTTTTCCTATTATGAACATTTCATATAAATAGAATCACATAATATGTGGCCTTTTGTGTTTGGCTCCTTTCACTTAGCATGATGTTTTTAAGCATCATCCATGTTATAGCATGTATTAGTACTTCATTTCTTTTTATTGTCAAATAATATTCCATTGTCTGAAGTTACCACATTTTATTTGTCCATTGATGACTTGGTGAACATGTTTCTATTTTTTGGCTATTATAAATAATGCTGCTATGAACATTTGTATGCAAGTTTTTGTGTGGACATGCTTTAATTTCTCATCGGTATATACTTAGGAGTGGAATTGCTGTGTCATATGGTAAGTCTATGTTTAACCGTTTAAAGAATTGCCAGATTGTTTTCCTCCTTGCTTATTGATAGTAAGAAGTTCTTTTGCAAAAGTGACTTTTGCAAAAGTGGCTTTTCTCCTGTAGAGAGGCACGTTGACATTGGAAAGCAAGGATATCAGACATTGTCTTCAACAAATACTCAACATCTGGTTGGCTGTGAATAACCACTTTCAGTAACAGAAACCAAATGGAAAGCTTAGAGTAACCTTGAGTAACTGCCCCATCCCTTCTTAATACTAAGTATTTTAAGCAAGTATATGAAACAAATTTAATAAATGATGGTGACAATAATAGTTAACATCTATTAAACACCACAGATGTCCCAGGCAGTCTATGAAGTACGTTACATGTATTTTATCATTCAATTTTAGAACCACTACATTATTTTAGAATTCTTACATTCTAGAGGGTAAGATTACAACAAAATCATAAGAATGACAGACAGACTTAATTCTATCTGTACTGATGACTAGGTAGGAAAAGAAAAGGTTTAGAGTGAAGTAAAAAAAAAAAGCTAAAACAGAAAGATGAACTCCCCTAAATGAAAAACTATTCAGAAGAGACTCATGTAGATGAGTCAGAGATAGTTTCATTAAGGGTATCATCAGGAAGCAGGAAATTGAGTGAATTACTGTTGTTATTTCTTCTGGGTTTGTGTACTCATGATACTATTTTATGGTTTAAGTTTTCTATAGGTACATAGAATTTGTTGCCAAATGAAGTGTTATGGAAGCTAGTAAAGATTAACAGAAAAGAGAAATGAGGAACTGTTCTACTATAACATTTTTATTGGCCTTTGTTAAAAAGTTTTCCTGTTGCGAAGTGTCTTATCTCTTGCCTAGTTGGAAAATTCATTCGTATAGGTTTATCTACCTAAGACTAGTATGGAGATGAGTGAGTAGACACAGAGTTAAACAAACAAACAGGAAACAAACCTTATGCACGATTTTGTTCATTATGCATTTAAAGTAAAAATGGGTAAATTTATATTTATCATAACAAATGATGGCCAAATGATGACCACAACAGCTATTGCTTGTAAAAAATAATTATAATTTGGATGGTAATGGCATTTCTTATTCAAAAAATTGTAATATATGTCATAGAATCCACAAGTAGGCTTCTTCCTGGAAATAAAAATCAAACTGATCAATTTACTTTAGTATGTTAGGTAAGAAAAAAATAATGGCGTTTAACTGAAGAGTGCATTGTGTTGATTCTGATTTTGTGTAAAGTTGGCTATATAGAAATTTCTCATTTGGATTAAAATTCTGAATATACAACTATGAAAAAATTTTGACATATTATTTTCAAGGAACCCTACGTTGCCCTTAGATGTGAAGGCCGTGGGAAGAATCCCTATCCTACATTCTGCTTTAGTCCTTAAGATCCGGTTATAAGCTGCTTGCAGTCATCTTCATTCCCTGGGAAAGATCAGACTTTTCTATTTAGCAACCAACCCAGGAACTGGATTTCAGCACACTAACCACATCTTCCTTCTCTGTATCATACTTGTACGCTTTTGGTCCCGAAAAGAAGTAAATGTAGCCTAAAAGAGACAAAGTTGAAATTGTGATTACTGAAAATGACTGGCACATTTATAAACGGGAGAATTTGTAATTATAACTTTCTTGAGGTGGCACCAAAGGGGAACTGGGAATTAGTCAGGTGACAGCTTGTCTCCTGCATGGCTCCACTGTGCCCTAGAACCTGACAGCTCTACTTTCTTACCCATTTCTTATCTTTCTCTTTGTTCTAGCCAGGGTCAGGCCTTCTCCATGGGGTCATCCAACGTGCCATGCTCACTTATGCATGCATTCTGCTTCTGCTCAGGCTCTTCTCCTCTAACAAACCCCTGCCCCTTTTCGTTCCCTAGTCAAGCCTCTAGCCAACCTTCAAAACCCATCCCAAGTGCCACTCTGAAATTTCCAACTACTGCTGCCAATTCTGACTTATTTTCTTTCTCAGATCACCTCTTGTAATTACTATGAAGTTTACCATGTGACTTAATACTAAATTATAGATGTTCTGTTTTCCAGTAATTTCATCTTGTGTTCGATGGATAGCATTTCCCAAAGATGGTAACCATTCCATGAGAGCAGAAGCCATGTTTGGAACTATCTTTGCATTTTTGAACAGTGTCCAGCTCTGTGTTGCATATCCAAGAAGAATGTGTTGACTGACTAATCCGAAAGATTCAATTAAATTTATTTAACTCAGTTCAATTCAACTTTTCTAGCTATGTGTTAAATTTCAGGAGTGGGCTGATGGAGTGGGAAAAGCACTGAGAAGTTCGAGACTGTGTATTTTAAAGATGAAAAAGATAGTCTTGACCTGGGTAAACTTTATGATCTAGCTGACTAATGGATGGAAGCAATACTTTTAAAACTTTCCATCAGCAGAGACAGAGCTACAATGGAGACCTTTTATAATTATTTTTTCCAGTAGATAATCTGGTTAGCTAAACTTATAAAAGGACACAGAACCAAAAATGAGAACCAATGACTCCCATTTAGAAACCCACTTTCTGTTGTGTTGAAGCAGAGTCCAGATTTCTTCTTATAATTTCCACAAAGGAAGTTTTTGGTGGAAACACTCACCGTTTAATTCTACAGCAGCATCTATTTGGCCATTTACTCCTGAAAATTCTTCTTCAGTATTCTTTGGATAGTCTTTTTCCATCCTCCTTTTTCGTTCATCATAGCTGGAAGAAATATTATTTCATAAATAATATTAAGAGATTTTTATTGATTGCAGATGACATCATGCTGGTTAAGCATATTCGGCCAGGTTTGAACTGACTTATGACTTATTTTACAAGCCTCTCTCTCTCTCATACACGCACATGAACTTTGTTCTTGTTTAAATTGGGCTGTTGAAATACCAAAAGTAGATTACAGACCTCTAATGCTATTGTCTCATGTTCCTGAGTTGATTCTGGTACCACTAGTTTGGAAGTCACTTGTTTTAAACAGCCTCTTAAAAAAATTTCCAAATATATTGTGTAGAATTAGTCATGCTATACATTACAGCAACATGTTCCTATAACTTTTTAAAAAATATATTGTCTTTCAAAGGGAACTTTACATATATTTTTAATTCCTTATTTACTATCATAATTATTATTATTTTTCTTTCTCTGTGTATCAATTTCTTGGCTCATCAAACAATTGAAAGCCCTTTATAGGGGCTTTTATTCATGGACTTAGTGCTGTGTACCCACAGAGAAAGAGCTGAACAAACAATGCACATTGAATGAATAAACAAATACATGAACAATCAGTAAATTAGAACTAAGAAAATCTGTAATAACTGAACCTCTGTCTTTGAAATAAAATTAATTGAATTTCATTGTTTTTGTCTCCTGGAAAGATTAGTTGACTGACTGAATAGTAGATTAGGTTTCTTTTTCTGGATCAGCAACCACCATTCGATGATAACTCAAGACTGGTTAATATGTCTCTTTGTGACCCAAATTACAACTTGTAAAAAGACTGTGACTTACATGAGTCAACATGATTTGTACAGCAGTAGGAAGAGATGACTCTCACCTCTTCAGTGAAGAAAGTCCCTTCTTCGTTGCATAGAGCTCCAAATGGGGACATTCCCAGGTGGACATCCCACCCCTTTACTACCAAGAGGCCAATTTCTCCTGGTGCCTGGGCCACTGGGTAGTTTCCTGGGGCAGCAGATCACACCCACTATCTCCTGAAATGTGTTTCTCATATGGCTATGACTACACAGGTCAGGGGACTAATCTCTCATGATACAGAGCAGGAGGCACATTTGGAAAGAAGTATTCAGGCTGAAACTAACTGGAGGGTTGAGCTGCTTTACGGAATGTTGGGGCTATGGATGGAAGCTAACTCTCCCAACATAATAACATATTAAATGTAACATATTAATATTTCATTTGGGCCTTTCATATGGACATTATGTAGACAGGGGCCTACATAGCTAATACAAGGTTACCTACTTTTCATTTTACCAAGTAAGAACATCACCAATCAAACCATTGAAAAAACCTATTATCACCTATTTTCATTATTATTTCATAAGGAAAAGAAACTTTAACACCAAAAAAGAAGAAAGGATATGAACGCAGAATAAAAGACAGTTCTTGCCAATAATCTGTTTTATGTTGACACAGACCACACCTCTTTGCATTTATAATATTGTGATGCTCTTATTTTGTGGCAAACTGCTGAAAACTTTGTGATGATTTAGCCCTTTGTGGACAGATATTTAGAGATTTCTGTTACGGAGCAAAGAGCACAACATACAAAGTCAGATGGCTCTGGTTTGAATTTCTGACTCTGTTATCTGTTGGCTCTATGATCAGTAGAACGTGTTGTGAGTTCTAAGCCTTGGTTTTCTCATCTGGAAAAGTGGTCATGAAGATAAGAGAAAATCTGCACACACACACACACACACACACACGCGTACATGCAGGCGTGCGTGCACACACACACAGATCCCTGGCACATGCAGCACCTTGGCAGGTCTGAGCCATAAGAATTTGTTGTTGGGCCAGGCGTGGTGGCTCACGCCTGTAATCCTAGCTCTCTGGGAGGCCGAGGCGGGCGAATTGTTTGAGCTCAGGAGTTTGAAACCAGCCTGAGCAAGAGCGAGACCCCGACTCTACTAAAAATAGAAAGAAATTAATTG